CTAGGCCGGCGGGCCTAGGTCCGTAAAACCACGCGTTGCTGGATTGGCCGACTGGCCGCCAATGGCGGCCCGCCATTCACTGTCCTAGCAACCAATCTCCGCCTTCTCGAGGATCGACCTGATTAATATAGACATACAGTCTTGTAACAAGACTCTTGTTGCGGAATCATGGGTTTAGTCACGTGTCGAGTTCGGAGCTCAGCGTAAACTAAGGCTAGGCCTAAGCACTATGGATGGACGAAAAGCGGGGCCGGAGCCCGCGTTCTGGCATAGCCAGTGGCCACCCGAGTAAGTTACGACACTCACCCCTGGAAGTTACGACATTCGACCCGATCAGCCGTAGGTTGTGCCAATTAGATCGAACAGACGGTGTCACTAAAGTTGGTCTACTGTATCACTAAGAGTGGCGCGCGCCCACCTGATCGATCTCGTCCCGGATAATTCAGCACGAAGTGTTGAAAGCCCGAACCTCTTGTTCTCAGCTCTGCGTTGGAAAGTACACCACACTCTCATGCAAGTGCGAACCTCTATCCCGATGCGTACCTCAGGTGTAGGCTAAGTGCTGCTGTTACTAATTCGTTGCATCTTATTCATCGAAAGTATGTGTCTTGTCGTTGCAGTCGGGGGCCAATGGTTAAAGAGCCATGTGGGATTCAGCTACCTTGTGCCCAGATTTCTGCTATTTATGTCCTCAACTATACGGATATTGGACTATAAGATAGAAAATGGAAAAGAGAGATATCAGGTTATACTCTGATTGGATCGCTGAGCTGAATTTACTCAAGTCCTGTGGACGACGCTCTGGAACAATAGGTTGTCATTTTGAGAAGTATAATGTGCGCGGAGTTCCCACTAGTGTGGGGAAATATGCACATGGTCAAGAACTACAAATGTTGGTGACATTATGAAAAATTTAAGGAGATTCTTATTGGTACCAGTACACCTATACCCGAACTCGTGTGAGAACTTGTATAGTGTGTTAGGAAAGCGAACATATATACAAACATTAGTTGGCACAATCTCAAAATTCTCAGGTTGAATATCCTCATGGTAGAGGGGTGAAGTGGGTGGCACCATTCGCTATAGGTGGACAATACAAGCAGGATATGGCTACTGCTAAAATTAGGTAACTTCAGATTGGAGTGGTATTGTGAGAAATTATCATTACTAGGTATCAACAGCAGCAAGATCAATCGCAGAAACTGCGGGCCCAACTGGATGCTCCTGGCTCGGGTCAACCTGGATCAGCAATGGATAGTCTACATGGAGTTGGCAGTAGTGCTACTGGTAGTATCTTCATAGCCTTTCACCCAACTTGGCATCATCGGAGTTACCACAGGTGGAGGCCATACTGGAGCTCTGCCGAATAGACAACGTCGTCTCACATTGGCCCAGCAGCAGTTGAATGCTACGACGGGGGGCGTGGGAGCTGCACGCCTTGGTGCAGCATTCGGTGTGGGGAACACTGCACAGGTAGTAGTATGGTATATACATATATTGACTTGGTGATGATGAGAGCAAATGAGATCTATTCTTGATGATTTTCATACCAGCTTTTTTCAGAGTGGAAAAATATGTACATAATCAACCACATATGTTGATAACAGTATTTAAGCTCCGAGGCAACTTTGAGGAATTTTCATTGATATCTGTACATTTCTAACCTAACTCGTATATGAAATATTTGTATTAGTAGTGAGGAAACTCAGATGAGTAAAGCGAACATATATGTCGACACTGCCTTTTCCCGTGTGATATTCAAACTTATTTTGCTCGCTATATGTATAGGAGTTTCACCCGTTTTACGTGAAGTGGCGTAAAACTCGGTGAAAAACGCGATATTCACGGTGATATGCAGTAGTCGTAAAGTATGTTTTTCATATCACTAGGGTGGTGAAACTCCATTGTTATATCATACATAGTAGTTCACTTCGAATGATATACTCTTGTGGATCTGTTTTCAGGTAAAATGCATTTGTTTTGGTGGAGCTGGCGTTGGTGATTCTGAGTTCGTCACATGTTCCTCGTGTTGTCGCAAAAGTCATTGCAAGTAGTAGTAAGCTTTGGTGACGCTCTCGCTGGTGTAGGACTGCCCTGTTAGATGTGTGAGAGCGGATGCTGATGCTAGGGACTTTGTGTGCCCTTTTTGCAGGATGCTGAATATGGATCCGTTCGAGGTTGGCATTGACGTACGTGAAGTGGCGTCGGATATTCGCGGATTTTTTCACTAGTGTTTTTTTCATATTATGATGAGTTAATTTTCAGCTTTTGGGGTTTGTAGCGTCTGCTCGGAATATGACAGCACCTAGTGCAGTGGAGTCCACTCTGAGTATGCGGCTCAACGTGACGAGTAATCAAATAAGGGAGTGGCAAGCGAAGTAATAGCTGCATACGCTTTCCCTTTGAATGATGGTGGATTGATTGATTATATCAGGAAGTATAATGTCGCTGTTCGATGCGTGGCAGTGGCGAATAAAAGAAGTCATGTTACTAATGGTCCTCTTTGGCCGTTGGAGGTGCGCGCGAGTGTGAATAACTATCGTGATGTTTTCCGGATCTCCCCTGGGAAGTACGGCCATGTGCGACGAGAAGTGACGAGTAAGTGTATGGGGCTAGAGGGTGTGCTGTATGAGTTTTATTATAGTTGACGAGTTTATGGTATTATTTTCAGGCAAATATATTGATGATGTTCTCCGTCCTAACAACAATGTTGTACATATTACTTATAAAACTGGTTATGATCCTAATCAGGGCGCACAGTCTGTTGCCGCACAGCCCCCGAGGTAACCGAGATGAACGTTTTACGGTATATAATGGAGTTCACGTGAAGTGGTGTAACACTCGGTGAAATATGTTCGTCACATGCGTTTTTAATGGATGAAACTCCAGTGTTATCGCAGGTTCTTCTTTGGTGTTGTTGTAACTAAGCCTGTGTCACCTGAGGAGCTCTTAGCGAGTGTTGTGAAACCATCGTTGGAAGAGTGCCGCAGACAAGACCTGGACATAGTCATGTAATGTGATGTGGGGAGGCATGCACGTGTTCAGTGTTTTTTGTATTCAACAAGTTGTTGGTTACTAAGCTCGATGCTAGTGAGAGGAATTTCGAGTGGGAACACAACGTCTTTTCTCCCGTTTTTTGGAATTTTATAGAAGTTTTCATACGAAATCGGGTAGAAAAGCAAGAAGAATTTCCCGAAATTTCCTCCCAAAATTTTCATACTATCAGCGATACATGTAGTTGACCATGTGCGTATTTTCTCGGCTGTCAGCTGGTCCATGAGTTCATCGAATTGCAATGATTTTCCGCGTATTAGAATCGGTAGTATCATTGGAGTTTTTACCCGTTATACGTGAAGTGGCATAATACTTGCGCTATGCAGTAGTCGTGAAATATGTTTTCCACTAGTATTTTTCATATCACTAGGGTGGTGAAACTCCGTTATATCACAACTATGGAGTGAATTGTGATGTGTGCGTAAGCAAGGGATAGGCCAATTTGTCAGTGGTTATGAAGTGAGTTACACTTGTTTGGTATCACCTGACGATGCGTCGGTTGCTGTTCTTAAGCGTGGGCAACTTCCACTGGGGTATCTCCTTTCCAGTAGAGTATCATGTGAAACTGGACATGTATATTCCCGATTTATTTATGGTTAACCTTGTCAAACAACAGTGGTTGGCAATGGCATCCTTTTCAGCTTGCGGGTGGAATACGAAAAAGGTGTGGGACTATTAGAGGAGAAAATTAATTATAACTTGACCATTTTCCCATTTTCTTGACATACTTTTCCTTTTTTCCCATCACTTCTTTCATTTTCCTATTACCTTTCCCATTTTTCCATATTTTTCACATACTTTCCCTTTTCCGATTACTTCTTGAAATTTCCTGATACTTTTTCCATCTCCCCGTTACTTTTCCCATTTTCTTCACATATTTCCCCATTACTTCTTCTATTTTCCTCAGACTTTTTCCATCTCCCCATTACTTTTTCCATTTTTTCCACATATTTTTTCCATTAATTTTTCCATTAATTTTCCCATTAATTTTCCCATTAATTTTCCCATTTTCTCATCACGTTTCCTATTTATTCATTACATACTTCTCACATTGCTTTTTCTCTACTATTTTACTATTTTCCTTTGTTTTCAGGCTCGGTCGGAAAAGAGCTCGGGAATTACAAGATGACGATCTCCAAGTAGGTTGTGAGTTTCCTCGACCATCTCTATTTTTCGAATTTCAGATTAACACTCGAGAGGTTCACGACATACTGCAAACTAAATGCCCGATATCGCTATGCGAAATAGAGTTGCCGGCTCGCGGTGGGTGTGTCGATTTTGCTTTCTCTGATTGAGTGATGTTATTCTATAGGAGTTGATTGTGAACATTTACAAACCTTCGATGCGAAGGCGTATATAGACATTAATAAGCTAACGGCTAACGTGGATAAACGGTAGTTTGCCGCGCGGGGTGGAGTGCTGGGGTGCAGACTGGCTTTTGTAGGTGGCATTGTCCAATCTGTTCGAAGCCTTGCTTGCCGAGCCAACTAGTTCTGGACAAGTTCGCTCTGGAGGCTTTGAAGAACGGTCGAGTTTCTGCTGATACTGGTAGTACTGGAAGGAAAGGAATGTTTTGTTGGAGTTTCACTCGGAATTTTCGCTAGAAAAATAACACAATTTTCAATGTGAAATGTGTTTTTCACTAGTGTTTTTCATCTGTAGCTGCTTCGGATGATGAAGAATGGTTTAACAAACGGATGAGGCTCGACGGACAGGGTCGATGGGAAGTTCTACCAGATGAGGACGTGAGCTGGGATGGGGTTACTTGTCGTCGTTGTGGAGTGTTGGGCGTTGGAGGAATATATGTTTGCTGAGCTTGGGAGTCCCCCCACTGAATATAGAAGTTTACGTAGAAATCAGGGTAGGAATGTATAGAAATCAATGGGAATTTTCCTAAGTTTCCTCGGAATTTTCATATTGTCAACAGCATATGTCGATATTTTTCTGCCCGCACTGGTGTAGTCGTAGTAGTAATAATTTGCTGTTATCTTAGTTGGAGGGCGAGGAGAGTGAAAGTGAAGAAGATAAGCCTCCGAGTGACGTCCCGATGCCGCCGGAAACAGCTCCTTCGACTGATGGTAAGTTGTCGTTGTTGTTGTTGTTGTTGTTGTTGTTGTTGTTGTTGTATATGTTGTTGTTGTTGTATATGTTGTTGTTGTTGTTGTTGTTGTTGTTGTTGTTGTTGTTGTTGTTGTTGTATATTTTGTTGTTGTATGTGTTGTCGTTGTATATGTTGTATATGTTGTTGATGTTGTTGTTGTATATGTTGTTGTTGTATATGTTGTTGTTGTATTTGTTGTCGTTGTATATGTTGTTGTTGTTGTTGTTGTTGTTGTTGTTGTTGTTGTTGTTGTTGTTGTCGTTGTTGTTGTTGTTGTTGTTGTTGTTGTTGTTGTTGTTGTTGTTGTATTTGTTGTCATTGTATATGTTGTTGTTGTTGTTGTTGTTGTCGTTGTTGTTGTTGTTGTTGTTGTTGTTGTTGTTGTTGTTGTTGTCGTTGTTGTTGTTGTTGTTGTTGTTGTTGTTGTTGTTGTTGTTGTTGTTGTTGTTGTTGTTGTTGTATATGTTGTCGTTGTATATGTTGTCGTTGTATATGTTGTTGTTGCTGATATTTGAGCTAAATAGGAAGGCCGTTGAATAATAGAACCATTATGTGTTCATCACGTTTACGGCCTAGTCTTGAATATTGTCACCATCATAACCTGCTTCTATCTTTTTCGTCTTCTTGTGGTAGGTGTCTCTAACCTAGTATTAGGGAGTCCTGGTGAGGATGCTAGTCCTGATGCTGCTAGTGATGGGGAGAATGTCGTGAGTTTAGATGACTAGGCTGGATGATCTAGAATGCTCTCACCATTCGTGCTACATAATACCTAGTTTTATAGCTACCTCGGGTGTCTATGATGTCGTAGTAGTATCACCACGACCACCACGACGACGACGATGACCGAGGATGTACGTTTATACCTATGATTACGACACAACTGCTGATGGCAATCTAATGTGTTGTGTTTATGATGAGGAAAGCGAGTAGAGGATTTGTTGTTACTGTTGTTGTTACTGTTACTGTTGTTATTGTTGTTGTTACTGTCGTTACTGATGTTACTGTTGTTGTTACTGTTGTTGTTACTGTTACTGTTGTTATTGTTGATGTTGCTGTTGTTATTGCTGTTGTTGCTGCTGTTATTACTGTTGTTGCTGCTGTTATTACTGTTGTTGCTGCTGGTATTGCTGCTGTTGTTACGGTTATTACTGTCGGCTGTTGTTACTGTTGTTGATACTGTTGTTGCTACTATTGTTGTTACTGTTGTTGTTACTGATGATGGTCTTCAGCGTCTAACTCCAGAGTGAACTTAGTTGTAGGGCCGTTCAGTAGCAGAACCATCATGTGGCCGCAGTGTTGTGCTAACTATCACCAAATGAGCGTTAACTTACTCTCTCTACTTAACTCTGGGTTGTTGCTGTATTCGATTCTGTTAGTATTATCACTGTCAATGGACCCTCCCAACTACGACCATCTATTCAAGCTACTCATAATAGGTAAATTCGCTCATGTCGTTTTTGGCGGTATTCTCCTTTTTGTAGGTGACAGCGGCGTAGGTAAATCTTGTTTGTTACTTCGGTTCTGCGATGATGAGTTTAATGACAAGCAGTTGGCGACTATCGGTGTCGATTTCAAGGTAACGTGTTTGTCGTGGGAAGAGTGGTCCATTGAAGTCTCACCCGCGACGTGGAAAAACACTAGTGAAAAACATATTTTAAAATTTTCTTGGCGGAAAACAATTGTTATCGGTCGAGGAAACGTATACGTTTCACAATTCACATGGAGTATAACGCCAGTTGAACCGGGTAAAACTCCTGATGGGTTGTAGGTATATCATCATCGTAAAAGTCTCAGGTGAAGTATCTCTCTTTGATGGGTAAACGTTTGAAGTTGGCCATATGGGACACTGCTGGACAGGAACGTTTTCGTACACTCACTTCTAGCTACTACAGGGGAGCTCAGGTGAGTGGATAATCGCTTGGTTTCTATTGTCGGCTCGAAGTTGCATACCACACTTCTTTGACTTCTCCATCGGTGGTGGTCTGTTGAAGAGGTGTACTGTATAGTAGTGGTTGCTTTTAAGGGCATCGTGCTTGTCTATGACGTTACCTCACGAGAGAGTTTTGAGAATCTGGAGTACTGGTTGGAAGAAGTTCGGAAGTACGCCACAAGTCGCAGTTCAGTGAAGATGCTGGTGGCCAACAAGGTTGATGAAGTAAATGTTAGCGGAGCGAAGTTTTTTTCCATTATTGTTGCCGTTGTTTTAGGGTGGTGATGTTACACGGCGGGAAGGGGAGAAATTTGCTATCGAGCATGACATGCTGTTTATTGAGAGTAGCGCCAAACTAAAAGTCGGAGTGAAGGAGGTGTGTGCATGCGTGCTGATATTTTCATACCAACTTTTGAGCAGATCTTCCAACAGTTGGTGTTGAAGATTCTGGACACGCCGGACCTGCTGCAGAACACAACACCGTTGGGAGCTACTCGTGAGAGATACCTTTCCTGACTTTTTCGATGGTTTCATATATTTACTTCACGGATGTGAAATTGATAGGAAATAGCGGTATGAGCTCCGGCTGGCAGATTTCCACATATGTAACAGAATAAAGCGATTCAGAATTTATGAGTTTTTTCCCCGTCTGGATCGTCTCCTACGGTAGGAAACAGCTAAACAGAGCTCCCTTGTGATATGAAAAACACTAGTGAAAAAAGCATATTTCACAAACCACTGCATAGCGCAAGATTGCATTTTTCACACAGTAGTATGTCACCTCACGTCAAACGGGTGAAACTCCAATGTACATACCCCATTCGCTCGGCAAGAGCTTACTGTGAATGACCCTATATATGTCTCTTGAGTTCTGATCGCTATGTATGATGATCAGCGTTACTTTAGAAGTTGCTATTATTCGATTAAGCGTTTCAACCTATTGGTTTGAATTCTCTAATTTGCCGTGGATGCATCTCGGTCTCAATTTGGGCAAATTGTGGTAACGTGTCGTTGTTCGAAAGTCCGGCAATGAAATACTTGCAAATTTACCAGATTTGGGTAGGAGTGTGTATTCTTTGATGTTTCTCAGGTTCGACTAGAATTCTATCAGATATTCCGCGAACCCAACAGGAAGGTGCTGAAGATGGTTCGTATCATGAGAGACAATGTTTGTGTTGAATACGTGAACCGGTGGGTTTTCGAATTGTATATTCGTCTTGCAATCATAGTGCAGTATTTTCATAATTGGTTTTTCTACCGCTGCATGCTGTTACTTAGAGGGTTTAGTGAGCGCTGCGTTTTGGGAAGTTGATGAAAAGATGGTATGATGAATATTTTTCACCGTATCAGAGATACCTGTGTTAATTTTCTCAACCATGGCTGCGGCAACTGTGCAGGACATCACAATGAATGACCTCTCTCAAGGTGAGCTAAAAAGGGCGACAATTTTTTTGACGGTTTCTTTGAGGTTCTTCATCGAGAGTAAAAAGTTATATGGCGAGTAAAGTGGAGGCCTTGGAGGCGATAATAAGAGAAAAACAACAGGTATAGTGTTGGTGGAGTGTTCACGAACTGGCTTGTGAAGAAGTGTTTTAGAACGTTAATCGTCTCGAGGCTCAGAGGAATGAGTTGAACAGCAGTGTACGACAGCTGAGGGAGGAACTACAGGCAAGTGGCGTTGGGAATGTTTATATGAGTGAAATCGAAAAAGAACAAATGAGATCAACTATCGCAGCGGGTAGCAGAGACTGGAGTTTTTAACCCGTTTCTTTGTGAAGTGGCGTGACACTGTATGTGAAAAACGCGGTATTCGCGATATGAAGTGAATTGAAAACACTTCGCGAATAAGGGTAGGCAAATCATCCCATATCACATGAAGAACACATCACGTGTTTTACGGCTCATGAGCGTTTTTCGCGTAGTGAAATGTGAAATATGTTTTTCATATCACGGGTGGAACTCCGATGAAGTTGGTGGAAGATATGCAAATGGATTAGAAAAGATGTTTTTCTTCAGTTGTTGTTGGAGCCGTGCAGCTCTGTGGGTGAAGTTGTGAAGCCGATGGGAAAGAATCGCGTGTTGGTGAAGGTAGACTGCTGTTGTTGGAGATGATGGTTATACTGTTACTTGTTATAGAGTGGCAGCGAAGGAAAGTATGTTGTTGACGTGGACCCGAGCATCGACATCACTAAGTGCACTCCAACGACGAGGGTTGCCCTCAGAAGCGACACGTAATCTACATTAAGAGTTTATAGTGCAATTTTTGTTCACAAAGTTGGCAATACCTGTGTACCTGTTACATTCACAGGTTTACATATTGTGAAAAATATATGTGTTTTTGCTCAGCTGAGCTCAGGAGTTTCCTCGTTGTAGAAGGCTACTCAGGAAACCGGGTAGAAGTCTATAGAACTCCTTTAATTTTCATATTGTCGCCAACACATGTTTTTCAAGTGCATATTTCCCCATACTAGTAAAACAAATCGAATATAGCATTGATGAAGTAGCTGCGAATTCACATGATATAAATGCTATCAGATATACCCTACACAAGCTGCTTCCCTCGAAGGTCGATCCCCTGGTATCTCTGATGAAGGTAGAGAAGGTCCCGGATAGCACCTACGAGATGGTTGGCGGCCTCGACAAGCAGGTGAGTACAGTGCGGAAGTTGCCGCTGTGGAAATTGCAGTTGTTGTAGATTAAAGAAGTTAAAGAAGTTATCGAGTTGCCGATCAAGCATCCTGAAATCTTCGAGAGTTTGGGTATTGCTCAACCCAAGGGTGTATTGCTGTGAGTTGATTCTGATGATGTCATCAGCTTGGTCATTCTGCGTGATGTAGATACGGTCCACCAGGAACGGGAAAGACTCTGTTGGCTCGTGCTGTGGCGCATCATACGGACTGCACTTTCATCAGGTGAGAGCGGCTCGGAGTTTTGACTCGGATGAGATTTTCGTTTGCCTTAGAGTTTCGGGAAGCGAGTTGGTCCAGAAGTATATTGGTGAAGGATCACGAATGGTAAGTGGGGTATTTGGGCATATGAGGAGGAAACCGTTTATGACAGTGGCTATGTGGTGTAGTGGTATTTTTCGAGTTTCGGGTGTGCGAGATCTCGGGCTCGATTCTCGGCACAGGTTTTTGGGATTTTCCTCCTTTAGGTTCGCGAGTTGTTCGTCATGGCTCGAGAGCACGCACCGTCTATCATCTTCATGGATGAGATCGATTCCATTGGTGGGCAGCGTGTCGAAGGAGAGAGCGGCGGTGATTCGGAGGTAGGCAAATGCGAATTCGGACCTCGTGGTGACGCTTTTCCCGTCTAGGTGCAGCGAACAATGCTGGAGTTACTGAACCAGCTGGATGGTTTTGAAGCATCTACTAATATCAAGGTGAGGGGAGAGTAGCCGCTACTTGGGCAGCAACCATACGTTATGTGATTCAATCGCAGCGATTCAGTCAGCTCCCACTGAACTGTGCTATCGGTTTAGAATAGGATCGAGAGCTCTATCTATTCCCTGGCCTTGATTTGAGCGATAATGGGTGTTTGATATTTAGGTCATCATGTGTACCAACAGAATTGATATTCTGGATGACGCTCTACTCCGTCCTGGTAGAATTGATAGGAAGATCGAGTTCCCCAACCCGAATGAGGTGAGTGATAATGCTGCTGCACATTTTTGGTAGACGCTTATTTGCTATAGGACGCTCGGGTTGAGATTCTGAAGATTCACTCGAGGAAGATGAACCTTATGCGTGGAATCAATCTGCGCAAGATTGCTGCTCAGATGAACGGAGCCTCGGGAGCTGAATCGAAGGTGACGCCACTAATACTACTGTGGGAATTATTACTCGTATGATGTGATTTGTATACTCATCTTTTGTAGAATTGGTGAGTAGGTGGTGTGTTTCAGGCCGTATGCACGGAAGCTGGTATGTTCGCTTTGAGGGAGAGGAGACAGCATGTAACACAAGAAGATTTCGAAATGGCAGTTGCCAAGGTGACTATTGGCCGGAATATTTCCCCCACTTTCGTTGACTGTTTATGTACAGGTTATGCACAAGGACGCAGACAAGAACATGAGTCTGAAGCAGCTGTTCAAGTAAAGGAGGAAAGCAGAGGTTTCGTTACTGCTTGTTATCGACACCATCCTTCTTGTGTTTGAATAGTGTCAAGCAGGGAAAGGGGACTTTTGAAATCAGGTGCATATAGTTGCGCTGAGATTCCCTGTTGTAAAGACTCCTCTGCGAACCGTGTAATCATCTAAGTCAAGATTGAGCTCCGAATATAATATGGTTGAATATTATACTAATTTATTCGGAAAATAAAAGGGAAAGTTCGGAATATTTTGAACTTGTGAAAGTGAATATTAGGTCATCACTCGAGTGGTCGAACTGTAAGTCGTTTTGGCCAATAAAAGTAGTTTTGTGGATATATAAGTGCACAATGGTGTACAATTGAGTCAACTGATTTCAGACTCGACATACGTTTTCAGTGAACCGCTTCATGGTGACTCCAGCGATTTATCTAGTACTGCTGTTGATCCCCATTGGGTTAGTACTTGCTATTGTTTTATTCAAGAGCCGGAAAGAACGTGAAGATACTGAACGGCCAACAGCACTGAACCTTAGAATAGGTGGTACGATTGATTCCTTCAAAGAGATGCATCCTCGTGAATTCTTGTCAATCACATAAATCAACTCTGGACTAGGCATGGGAGCTGATGATGATAAAGTCCGACCATTAACTGATGAATATCTCGAGCCTCTACTTCATTCGCCACTCATAGTTGGTGTTGTTGTCGCTGCTGATTCGATTATTGTTCGGAATAGAGTATTCACTCTAGGTGAAGCAGTGCATGCAGGCAGCCCCGTAGCTCCATCAGCACGGCGATATGCAGAAGCCAACGCAGTCGTAGATCTAGAAGTAAGCCTAGTTAATATATATTCGCAGTGATGATCGGTAGACCATGACATGGGGTCTCGCGTTTACTACGGTAGCTTCTCGTTCGGGTATGTGCTTGTCGAATTAAAAGAACGCTTCATCTGCAGTGAATTTGTTGGCCAATTAAAGTTGCGAATTCTGACGATGAACTCACTTCGTCCAACTATAGGGGCTTCGTAACTTCTATATGATAAAGCATTTGATGGAAGCGAATGGCACGGGTTGTCATTCAGGCTGGATTGTCACCGACTGGCACAGACTCTACACTCACTAGCGGTATGGAAATGATAGTAGGTCGGACGTTCAGCCTTCACATGGCCATTGCCGCACACGCACATGAACTCGTCGAGGCTTGACAGAGACCCTCGCCATGGCTACCTAGAGTGTTGATTGAGTATTGTTCTCGTTGTTAACGCTCCGTGTGAATTACGGGATACTGTACCATTTGATTTCAGCACTCCCTGAGTTCAGTAAGTAAGATGAATGAACCCAACGTGATAGAGTATCTGCGGTTACACACGTCTCCCGAAGTGGAGGTGAGTCATTTTCGTCTCCCACAGGGAGTTCGAGTCGGTGGAGTTAGTCGGGCAAAGCGTCGTGGTCATTGGTGATCACGCGTAATCGCCGATGAGGAGATACACAACTTATGAGTTTATTGGCAAATAGAAATTCCGGAGAATGCGGGAAAGACTTTTGTGATATTTTTTGGCGTACGCGAGAGTTCAGACAAAATCAGCATATATTTTGAATCTAGAATATGATGATCACTCAGCTAGGTGACTCCGTATCGTTTTGTCACCCGTATACGGAACTTGAATCTTCAGTGAGGAATGTTTCGGACGTATGAAGTGATCCTGAACTCGACCGCTTGGTTTTATGAGCTATCGAGATTGTTGAAAAGAATCGATCTGGTGTGAAGGCACTATAACTCGCCAATTGTTTGCGTTTCATAATGGTAGTATATAACATGAAAACCACTATTGATTCATTTATGAGTTTTTCCTATCATTGAGTTGTCGTTGCTGCTACTGAAAAACTGACGATTCTGCCCAAATAACTGTCACGTATATGCAAATAGCAAAGCTCGGATCCGTTCACATTCGTGACTAGTGTTCATTGAATTTTGAATTACCTTGTATGTGGTCGTCACAGTAGACATTCCTGTTCAGATCCGCACAGACCTCGAGTGTGCTATTTGTCTAGAGGGCTACAACCCCGTCACTAGGGAGTTCCCTCGAAGTTGGGCCGCTCGGCTAAGGTGTGGCCATACGTACCATCATGACTGCATCGCGGCGTGGTTGAAAAAAGACGGCTCTTGTCCATTGTGTCGACACAATGTCAGTGGTCGCTCCACTGTCCGAACGTGGTCATTGACATGAAAGTTTTGTGGAAGCATCAGTTGTTGCTTATTCGATTTTGAAACGCCTCAAGCGGCATTAGAAGGAAGCTCCGAATGGAGTTAGCATATATAAGTTTTCAACATTTTGTCAACAAGGTTGATAGTTCCCGAGCTGAGTTTTGTGAAGTATGATTATCATTATTATATTTCTTAGCGTAGTTTAGTACGTTTAGCGCGGTTGGTAGATCCATTCCCAGCGTTCTCAACGCTTCCACTGAATTACTCTAGTCGAGTTCCTGGTCTATTGATTTCAAGTGCAATAGTAGGAGATAGTGATGAAACTGAGTATCTTTCGCCGGGTTCATCTTGATCCACTTGTTATACGTGTTATCATGATAGGATCTACTCAGACAAATCTACTGAGTAACTCAGTAGATTTGTTGTCACGACTTTGGTGGTCGGCTGAGTTATTTTATTCGTCCAGATAGCCACTGATAGCCGGTGCTTCGACGAGCCTCACCTGTATAGTCCGAGAAGCTTCCACTCGCACTTTCTGATAACCAGTGGAATCACAGTGGAAATGAAAACAACTGTCTTTAGATCATATTGATATTCTCAATTTGAGAGTAGCTTAATATGGTCTTCTTGTTATCTTCCTTTTCCCTTATTCCAACAAGGATGGACGTTCTGGGGTTCCCAGTCGTCGTTGTATCCTGTTTACTTTGGTCTGCGAGAACTAAGGTTTCGTGCAATGGTGGCCTCGATTTCTCAAGTTACTCGTCATCCGGAATGCTGTATTTGGCAAATACAATTTGCTCGTCAGAGCTGTTTGCGACATCTCATCATTATCCGAATCCGGTGCGTACTACTCACTGTGTAGAAAGTCGATGCGTATCAGCGATCTCTGTACACTGTCTAGATTCTGGATTCGAGAGCAGCTCAAGAGGAGTAAGCGTAAACGGAAAGCAGCCGATGGGTCTAGTATCAATCCGGTAGTGAAGGTGAGAACTCTGAGATGAACTTACCCCATGATAGGGTCCCCATCAGTGGCGAGTTTGTTGTGTTTGTCCATTTACAATGTCCAAGCGGCAGCTTACTATGACGTCGTTCGTGTGCAAGCGGCTGAGACCATTCAGCAGCAGGAGCTTAGCACTTCAGTCTCAATCGATCCGTTCGAGTGCGACGGTCGCCGCAGTAACCCAACTACTCCCGATTCGAGTGGGTCTGAAGCGTCCTTGTCATACTCTGAGTATGATACTCACCATCTCGTATTGGATCTTCCGGGGATGAGGACCGTGAGCCACGGTGCAGTGGACTCGCTCAATCAGAGCAGTGTGAGAGTACGAGAAGTGAAGCTTATCCCGTCAAGTTCGGGTCCGTCACGGACCGTCCGTGTGCTCTCGAATTAGAGGAATGATGGACCGACTTAACCGAAGGTGCATTTCCCGAAGTCACATAGCGAGAATGTTGCCGCTTTGTTCTGACCTGGTACACAACCTACCCATGAATAGAGTACTTCGTCTTCATCCTGCTAATCCGCACAGTACCTTGCCATGGAATGCGGAAGGCTTCGGCGTGTTGCCAAAGACGGACAATGACATCATCATGAACAACACCACACAGCCTTACATGGCAAGGTTAGTGAAACATAATATTCGCATACTCGTGCATGGTCACAAGCAGTGCACGACTCCCTGCGCCCCATTACTCTTCAAACACAGTTACTACGATGGAAATGTGCCTCCATGCTCAGGAATCCTGATATGGGATCCTGAGACAGGATCCCATATCATCACCGTGTATGGGTCGCGGTTTTGGGCGGCCGTAAGGGACTGTCCCTTGGGAGACTCCCTGTCGGGGAGGAGTATCCCTACGCTTTGCAATAAGTTAAATGCCGATCTTCGGGAGTTGGTGGGGATGACTGTCAAAGACGACTTTCTTCAGACAGTCGCCATGGATTCCCAGCTTGATTTCACAAAGAAATGCAGTCGGAAACTACGATCAGTGAGTCACTGACAGTGACCATATCGAAACCGACTTGAGTTAGCTAGAGAGTATGAGCGACTCATAATGAGCCCGATAACGTGGTTGGTTGTTTGGTCTGGTGTGACCAATAGAGGTTGATGAGGATGCCGATGACGTGGAGCTTCTCGCTGAATAGAGTATTATGTCCCCCGATAGCTCTTGATGAGCATATTTGTTTCGGTTAGGGTCAATTGTACCCTTTGCGTTCATGGGCGAGCCCGGGGTGGCTCAACAATGGGTTTGAATTCATCGAAATAAATTGTATGTGTTCGTCTATTCAAAGATCACTAATTTCTGATAAAAACCGCTAATTTTAAATTAGCAGTTCTTCAGCAGCCGTCAGGAGTGCGAGTCGCACTGTGCGACTGCGAGTCTTTGCTTTCTTCAAGACTTCCTAATGTTGATAAGGCGCAGTGCACGCCGTGATTCCATAGGATTTGCTGACCGAAGAGAACTCAACTGATGAATTCCGACTTGGTTTTTAACCAGGAAGTGGCTGAATCGTGTCCTGTTTTAGGTGTCATGGAATTAGATCTGCCTAGTCTACCAGAAACTTCTTCGGACGGTGAGACGTTTGGACGGACGTCACGCATCACGTAATTGGTTCCGAGTCACCGCAACTGATGGGGGAAGCTCGGGGCGTCTATCGACAGTCGGAGAGCTAGGAGCAGTCTCTCCATAGTCGGCGAAGGAGCTGAAACAGTGGTTAGAGAACTGCCGTATAGGAAACAAAGTAAGTGACACTCACTCTGATGAACTTTCACTGAGTGTCCATCAGATGATGCTGGAAAAGCCTTGGGGTTCGATTGAGATTTTTCTTACTGAGAAAATATCTTGTTGGAGAAATCTGCAGGGTTTCCCTTAGGATAGAGACCTCATCCTGGCGTCCGAAAACTCGTACAGAAAGGCGTCCGACCGACGAAGGCAAGTTCTCCTTATTAGAGAGAATGAAAAGGAGGACGACAATTGTAAGATTGTATCGCCGATCGTTGACAGCTTACTGCAACTCTGAAGAATAATGAAGTATAAGTAGTTCATGAATATCAAGTATAAAATGATGTTCTATAGGCGTCTTGCAATTCTCGCAGGTTCACCACCAATATAAGTGAATCCGATGCTGGGAAGATCGTATGGATGTAACATGTATCAGCAGCTTGTACACTAGTTACCATGCCTCTGGCAATCGTGTTGAGTTCGCATACGAGTCAGGTCAGCCTGTGAAGAAGCTTCTGACGACGTATGAAGACCGTGGAAAACTCGATCATATGGGTGGATGGTGCAAATACGCAAATTTTAACTCATCATTCGAACCTCATATCAAATCTCCTGCAGATTTGGAGTAATATGGAGCTGGAAGAACTGCCGATAGACTCGTGCGAATTCTCGATACGATACGGTGGAGAATGGTGGTAAAACGTCACAATGACAAGCATGCGTACTTTCTGTTACATTGTTTCCATGAACGCCTGATCATGTTGTTGTTACCGTATGAGTGAACACAACATTCTTGTTTGTGTGCACAGTGAAAAATAGCGCAAATTTGAAAGGGGGCTGCCTCTACTCAGACGGCAACAAGTTTAATTGATTACATCTATCAATCACAATCTAGTTTCTCTTCCGAGAGTAGTAGATCGTGATGCTACGGTGACTGCAAGACCTTTGCATCACGAAGTGTTAAATTAATCGATTCTATGAGAAGTGTCATCATCCGATATGAAACTTTCGAAGAAGACTTCGTCGTCTCCACAGTCGGAAGCAGCTGATGACGATGATAGTTCGAATGAGAGGCATTCCAACATCGAAGATCTCAAGCTCCCCTTGTTCGATGCGGGGGAATCGGTATTGGTGCCTGAAAGGTATAATACCGATAGTTTAGCAAGCAAATACACAGTCTTATACTCGAAAGACCACAGGTTCAAATCTCGCTGAGAACTTCTCATCACAACTCAATCTAAATATGGTAAACTCCACTATACTGGAGAAGAGCTCTCAAATATCTAGGGGGGAACTTCAATGGAATAAAAGCCTACACGTTTCCTACTTGGGGTTAACACAGCTCCATTATCAGCGGATTCATCGATGCACTCCTTCGTGGTGGACTCCTCGTTGTTGTTGTTCTTGCAAGGCTTATCAACGGGTATAGTCGCTTGCTGAACAACTTCATCTTTCGAGGGTAATAGCCGCGGCGGGCGTGGCCGGCGTAGGACTAGTTCGGCTGCGCGAATTCTGCGACGACGATTGCCACGGTCCATAGGGCAATCGACGGTTCTCCATCGGTGTTTCCTGGGACGAATGGTGCTCTCGCGCATGCTCACGCTAAGACTTACCCTTTAGAGTTATCGTCGGAGCACTTGGGGTCAGCCGAAGAGTGAAGGTCGACGAGCCGTTCCTGAGATCAGTTTGCGATGAGGTGTTTACTCGTTGTTGTACCTCGGAATCGACACCTCTTGGAACGACCTGACTGGACGAAGTGAAAACAGACATAAAGTGATGGCCGAGCAACCACAGCCGTGATGGGAAGCTGATAGGCTGATAGTGTCCAGACCAGTGTTGTTGGAGGAATATATGTTCGCTTTCCTCAGCTGAGCTCAAGAGTTTCCTCACTAGTTACACAAGTTCACATAGGAATTTGGGTAATAGTGTACAGAAACCAACGAGAATTCTCCAAATAACCTCAAAATTTTCATAATGTCATCAACACATGTAGTTGACCACGTACATTTTCCCTACACCGGTCCAGACTGCAACAAGAATAGTGGGCCCCCACAATAATCATCGACAATTTTGCTACCATAATTTGACTAATTTGCAAGTCTTCTAAAGAAGATCTCCGAGTCGCGCACGCCCTGATATCTGTCGTACATTGCAATTGCTTTATCACTTTTCACGATGATGATCTCAACTCTACCTGATTTGTCCCCAGAAGGTTGCCTGGCGTTGATGGTAATCGAAGGATTGTTTCTCCTCGTATTACAGGTAGTATCAGAGCAGTACGACAGAGAGAAATACCATCGACGATTCCCTCCTACTTTTTATCCTCACTCCGAATTGAATTTTATACGTTAGAAATTTCAAAGGGATGTATTGGAGTTTCACCTGTTTTACGTGAAGTGGCGTCGTAAAACTCGGTGAAAAACGCGATATTCGCTCTATGCAGTGGTCGTGAAATATGTTTTTCATATCACTAGGGAGGTGAAACTCCATTCATATTCATTCTCGGGATCATTGGCTTCAAAAACGAACTAGATGTTGGAAAGGTGTGGTATGATAGTTTTATTTCTCTTCAGTTCGATACGAGGCACTTCTCCGATTTCGCCGCTAGAAAGATGTGCCATTCGCTGAGCGGACTCATGATGCTCTTCTTGCCCCCACAGTAGGTTTATACTCGGCGTGGCTCTAGGAAAGGCTTCCCATAGGTACCTTCTTTGCCGGCTCTATGTGTATGCGGTAGTAGTAGTAGGATTGACGATGACGTGGCAGCTTGTGCCGGCCTTGCCCAAGTGGCGCTTTGGCGACTTCGGCGATATTGGAATTACCGTCTACCTCGTTATTGTCGGGTAGTACTACGGATATGCTTAAATTCAACGACTTATTCAATCGTCCTATGATTGCCGGCCATTACACTTTCTCCTAATGCATTTGATACCACCCTGCACTGAAGAGCCCTAGGAAAATACCAATATACCCGTTGCAGATCATTTAGCTGTGCTGTAGATATTGGATGAGTTCATCTTCTCGTGGATCGCGGTATCAGTCTATGTATTTTCTGTAGCAATAAGAATTATAATCAGCATTTATCACCGATGAAGCAATGAAAAAGTATCATGAAATTGAACTTTGACGATTGAATGATATTTCAGATTCTGGTTCTATTTGGAATACCCCGTAGCTGTGCTCGCCCCCATTTTTTTCGCGGACCCCAGCGGAGCGGTGGTTGGCAAATGGGCGTCGAGAAATATACCTAAGTAGTACCTTCAACTGAGTTACCCGATTCAATGGCCTATGGTGACTATCTCCTTTAGGCATAACCCTGCATGGGTTGGTACTAAGACCGTTATAGGCTCACTGGCAGTATTCGTGGTTACGTTCCTCACCTTATACAGACCAACATCGTTTACACTGAGATTCATGGTAATGTAATTTTGACCTCCTATGCAGATCACTCGTTCTCTCTCGAATTTGGAGTTTGAATGTGTCCAGCTGTGAGTGAGAGAATCTGTTGCGTAACTTGTTTTGTTTCGTGGCGCTGAACTCGTTCGAGAAATCGACCGACTGGGGTTCGAACTCGGGACCTCGGGTATGTGATATCGCCTTTCAGACCTCCTTAACAACAATGCTTGTCGAAGGATTCGGCGGTAAGTTCGACAACTTTTATGTCGCCTTGGTTGTGATCAGTGCCTGGCTTCTTTTCCCGGCTAATTGATCTGTTCAGTAAACTACAGTTTCGTGCCACTAGCGTGTGTTCTTGGGCGTTGTGTTTTCAATGCTGAAGAGTTTCTCCTGCTGATTGGGCGACTGAACTGTGAGAGATTTCCTCTGCTATAAGGTTGCTGAATTTTCCATGGGGTCGGCGGTTGATCTTTCAGAGGGATCGGGTGTAACAGAAGTGATTCGAGCCCTGATCTCATATTACCCTTGTGAGGTTGCTACTTCGCTGGAGTCGACGATCTTATTCGAACTGTCATAGGTTTGTAATAGGTTTAGTACTGTAGTGATAGGGCTATAACCTCTTTCTGATGGAGGTCTAGGAATCTACGGAAGAAATGAGATTTTGAATAGCCGTGAGGGCGGAAAGTCGCAATAGCAGTGTTTTCAATCGCTACCATGAACTTACCCATCACTCGGGAATTCGATCTCCAGTCTGGACTGCTTTGGTGGTCATGATTACCCTATAATGCTTGCCATCCTCAGAGTTTCCCTGGGTGCTTGCGCTCAGTTGAGCTCCCCTTTGTGCTTCACCGAGGATCGGTCAGCCGCTGATGTAGGGATTTTGGCGTCGTCGAATATCTCGAAATAGCTCACCATCGCGAATGAATTCTAGACCCGGGGGACCCAGCTCCTAGACTTCACAACTGTTTCAACAGTCGTTTCCAGTACCCTACGCGCCGCCTGACTTCTCTAGACTCGTTGTAAGCCTTTCTCCTTTGGTCAGGGTCTAGGCTTATCCTTATTGGCTGGCTACAGTCATAACTCTAGTCGGGACTGTTGGTTTGGGGTACGACAATTAAAACGTTGAAGCTGCCGCTGGTCTGATGGTGCGCACTATTGATTTTTCGAAGGGTTGCGGTGCCTTGTGCTTCCATGTCGGCCAGGCATAGAAGAGGAGTGCCCATCGACCACAAGCGATTACGTTCATATCTTATACCGTCAGTCAGTTTCACCCATTACGAAGTGTTGTGTTATACAGTAACGCGAACCAAGGAAAAATCAGCGGCTACTAGGTCATCGCACTCGTCGTCATCTGTGGCTTCCTAGTAGTGTGATGCATCACCTGAACGAAATGAGCTCGTCATCTGGGGTTTGCTAGATGGAGGGGTGAGTCTCCGTGGTGCTTCGTCTTCTTGGGCGTCCACACCCCTCAGACTACGTCGCTTCCCCACTATTTAAAGCGCGAGTTAGTGAGATCGTAGTCAGAGTTTTATGGCGTCCGGGGTCGGATCAGCGGTGAATACTTATCACAGCATTAGGAGGTAAACACTAGGCACCAAAACCGTTGCCATCGCTTGATACTCATCCAACTACAGTATAACTCAACAGCACTCTTCAAGGCAGAATGGTATCACGATAATCAACGCTAAAGTAAACTGAGATGAAACCTAATGTACGTCTTCAATCAATGCTCTCGCTGCCTTGCTCACTCTTGATGTTCGTTGTGGTTTTATTTTCAATACAGGATACCATCCATCCCACGAAACAACGTAGGATTGGGGTCCTCCGGGTTCCTCTTTAGACCGCCGCACACTCTCAATGATGCTCTTCAATAAGGCTTCTAGGCGACCAAAGAGATCGAAGAATCGACCTCGGACCCCAACCTGATCACGACTGAGTGATTCCATTGATGCCACCTCAGTCCACTTCGTACGAGCGATGAGCAAATTATGTACATCACCAAGGCAGAGTTGACCGTAGACGTCGGCCCAGTCGAACCTTCGCTTCACCGACTTCGTCTTAAGCTCCCAGTAATGGGGGCATTCGCTGCCATTCTTCAACCCGCCTCCTCGCTTCATTTCAATGCGGCTTCCGGGAAGGCTCGACCATTCAGCTTTCCGTGACACCGACCGCCAGGCACCACCGTCAACGGCATCGATCTCCGACCGCACAACGAGAGCCACACTGCCAAGGTTGAGAGCAACAACTCGGCGGAAAGACCCCAGTGTGCTGGCAGTAGTCATTTGGCGTTCAAACGAGTGACCACAACCGAAAACTTGCACCTCCGCTGGTCCAACTCGTGTGAGGACAATAGTCCTACCGACGACATCAAGGTCTATTTGAAAGGACTGGTCATCAAAGGTGTCCCAATTCGGCTGAAGAGCTCGCATCAGCTTCCGAAGATTGTTTCGGTCGGTGACTATGTCTACTGCCTGCCAGTCAAAGTCGGGTGTACAGACCGCCACGGCTTGGAACAGGGACTCTGTCGGAGACTCTTTTTGGCGATACAAGTTCTCATCGCAGAAGAACGTCCCTTGATCGTATTCGAGCTTAGGAGGCTCTTGTGAGTCTATGAGGAAGGGCGGCAAGCCCGGCACGATGATTCGAGGAACCTCAGTTGTTGAGGAAGGATGCCAGTTATAGGTAGCGATCTCCTTAGCATCCGATGGGAGGTCTGTCAGTGTTGGTTCGATCCAATCCAGCCGAATGGTAGAAGATGACGACATTGATGTCAGAAAACAACTAGAGCAGCAGGGAGGGCGCGGGTTCGATCCCTGGGAATCGCATCCTATCAACGCGAACAGTCCGCAGTAGAACCGTAACCTAAGAAGGCCACCTTTCACAAGTCGACAGGAATTCTGCGTTGAGGAACTTCGAGATAGAGCAAGAGCGCAAGATCATCTCTTGAGCATCGTCATTTTTTCAATTTCCTTGCGGCGTTTTTCAATCAGCCACCAGTGACCAATCAGTTCAATCAGCCCCTTTGAAGAGGACTCGGCCCTGATCTTATTACGGATGCCGATGAAAAGTTCCCGAGTTGGACTATGACGCGGAGACCTCCTCTCGAAGGGACCCAAATGCTGTTAGAGTATCCGATATGTAATTTGGATTCCACACTCGAGGGATGGACCAAAGAAGCTTCCTCGTCTTACCTGCTAATCATTTGCTACCACACCATTTTGACATCGCCTTCTGCAGGGGCCTCGAGGTCAGTCGACTACCCAGTAGAAGGAAAACCTGAGCATGATTGCATACCAAGTTTCGGTGGCTAGAGTAACGTCGTGTTGGTCACAGATGCTCCCGTGGCTATCGGTGGTGACGCTGGGTTTGTAGAGCCTCTACATGTCAGCCGCTGAAGCTAAGACCGATGCTGGTACGACCGAAAGGGTCGTCGTCCGTTGCTGCAAGTGCAACGCTGTTGTGAGTGAGAGAGGATCTAGGAAGCATAGAAGAAGAACGAGGAAGTGAGTCTGATCGCCCTTCACTATCATCATGCTTGCCTTAGACATTCGAGCCAGCGTCCGCCACTACTCAGACCCAAGGTGCCTTATGACCTTCAACCACCTTACGCTGTTATCGCCGGCTTCCCGGAATACAAGACAGGTCAGTCGACTTCCGACTCTGGTTACTTCCAAATTGAAGCGCTGTCGTTTCAACTATACCGATCATTTTTGTCAGACTATATGCAGTTCGGTAACTACCCTGTAGACGAGATGGCTTTCGTCCGCTCTTGTAGACAAGAACCGTTAGCTTGTGGAGTAGGTCGGAATGGTCTGGATTACTGAATCAGTCTCCTCAGAAGTTCCGCCGGCCTCAAACCGATTCTCCGCGTGCTACGTCTGAAAAAAGCCGTACCGCTTCGTACCGCACGTCCCGCTCATCGAGATCGACAAGCTACGGCAGCAACTCGTGCTACTCGTGTTCGAGGAGCTCACGATCGACAGGGACCACTTCTATTGGATACACTAGCACCTCCGGGTCGTAGGTCGCTTTTTCATTGTTCATTTTTTCATTGTTTTTTGCTTGTTCATTCTTCGACGCTGTTCTTCTTCTGTTCAGATACTCATTGTCCTCAACCTACGACTCTTGTTCGTCGCATTCGCTCCGCCCAGAATCCCTTTAACCATGTCATCTTAGCTGTTGTTCGTTCATCGTTGGCACTGTTGTGTTCAAAAAGGAGTACAACGTATATTTTGGCCTAGCGAATAGCTGAAGAAACTTTGAATCATCGAGTGTATATCTCCAGAAACTTCGATGGCTCCTAAAAAGTCCTTCCCCAGATGATCGCAGCTTTTTCACAAGATTAACAACACCTGAAGTTACAAGCGTTCGTTGTTGATTTCTATTGTGACTGAGGTTAGCGTGGTAGGAAAACAGAGGACGTGATTAGCCAAGTCTCAGCTTGCCTCTCAGCCATGAGCTCACGATTCGTTTTATGTACTCCGAACACAACTAAGTGACTGAACCAGGAAAAACTGGTAATATAATCAAATCATTCGATTAGGTGATTGTTGGGGGTTGAAAATGTAAATATTTTTTATAATAAGTACCAACGGATAGGGTTGATCTGCCGCGAGGCTTGCCTGTGTAGCCTGTGAACATGTACACAACTAGATCTATGTACCAGCATAGCTTCTCCCATGCACTCTGAACGTAGTGGTATGCAGATCGGATTTTACGACCAATATATTCCATTGTGGAAGTCAACCAATGTGGAAGGTTCGTATGTCTTCTGGAAGAGGATTCATCACCAAGGGTACTCCTGTCATCATCATAAGCATAAAGCATCGCCGAATCCGTCATTGATTCATCACCAAGAGTACTCTGGTCATCATCATAAGCATAATCATCCCAATCAAAATCATCGATGTGATCCATGTTGTCGTCATAATCTTCTCGATCCTCGCTGTCGGGCTCGTCGCTGTAATCACGATCATCCGAGATATTTTCGTAGTAGCTGTCATAGTGATCGCCACCACTGCCAAGTAGTGAAGACGTCTGACTCATCGTAGGGGAGGATGTAGAGTCTGTGGTGTCAGCTGGCTCAAGGTCGAGTCTTCCCAGTGCTAACTCAAGTCTTGAGGCAAACCGCAAGTCGCATATGTTATGAGCGGTACGTGTGCACCAGAGGTAAGTGTTGCAAGTGTTCAAGACTCGCTCGCTGTTGCGGTCAAAAAGTTAGTACTCAATCGTTTCATCGGATCGACTAGTACAAAGTTAACTACTTAAACCTCTGATGTGGAAAATCCACGCAGAGGGCAACACCGTCCAGCTGCTGTCTATCTCAAGAAGGTCATTGGCATCAATCGACAGACTACCGACTCGGCATGTTGCGAGTTCTGCTAATGTCTCATCGAGCAACTAGTTCTTTTTTCATGACTAATAAAGCAACACTTCCGGTCAGTAAGATGCAGTCCATTCGGACTATCCAGCTGTGTCTCAAAGCCTGCGCATGTCATTTCTTTCGATTGAATTCATCCTGACCCTCGGCAAACGACTTCTGGTACGCCTGAACATCCTCCGCGATATCCCTGAGGAAAAGAACACCCCTACGCAGTGTCTCAACAAATGTGATGCCCACCCTTGGACTTGAGCCCACAGCCTGCTCCTGGCTCTTCCCAGCTCAGAATCTACCGCTGAGAAACGCTTCTGAATACTCTTCTTTTCCTTGCTAACGAGATGCGAACAATACAGAGGGGGTCGAAAAACAGCTTCTCTCACAGTTGAGCATCTTTAGCCTTTCTCTGCTCCTTTCCATAGGCCATTAGTTTCTTCTTCATCTCGTCAAATATAGGATCGTAAGACGCTTTCAATCTACTTCAACCGCATTTCCTCAAGGTCAACACCAGTGGGCTCACTTGTCCAAGTCACTGTTGGCAGTAGCAGTTCTCTTCGCAAGATCCCGCAAGTTCTTCTCAACTGAAAATACCTCAACTGCCGCATTCCTAACAAGCTAGTGTGCTCACGTTCATCGCTAGGTCCGCCAAGGCCTTCGATGCTACTGATAGCACTGCTCGTTCTGTTCATCTCTTTTTGTATCTTGAGATGATGAGCATGAGGCGACTTTTCAAAATAATTTCATACCTCAACTAGCGCATCTTCCACCAGAGAGACAAAGCTCGCCTGTACATGTTCCACCCTGGCCGTCTCCTCCATCTTAACGCCCTTTTCTGCCGCGATGTCTTCAAGTAGTTTTTGGTCCATTGCTCTGAAAAGGTAACAGGATGGAACGCGAGTCGATGATCGCACACGTTTAACTCATATTGAGAAGCCAGTAAACTTACAGAGCCGAATGGGCAAGACTACGGGCTTCATGAGAAAAAAGACCTTCAGTCGAGCGGGCATCGCTGATGTAACGCCCAGCCGCGAGAGAGTTATACCTGGCAGCATCTCACATGGTAAGCTCGACGAGGCTTGCGACTACTCACCCAAGCTGGCCACCATCCTCCAAGGCCGCCCGCAGCAGAGCGTTACCCAAGTCGCCCAAGCCGGTATCGACGCTGGAAGCTCTGAGGGCCTCGCCGACCTCCTGCTCCTGAATGAAAGACAGTATGAGCAGCATACTGCTGTCGAGGCGCGGGCTTACCTTGAGCATCTCGATGGCTTTCGATTTCTCATTCGCCATCATTTCTCTGAAAACGACATAGTACACACAGTTCGCTTGCATAGATGATACCGCTCAACGAGATGAGCACATGGAGCTGATTCAGCATTGAAAGTAGCATTCCACGACAGCCGTGCCGAACTTACGAGTATCCGACAGGAGACAAACAGGAGATCTTCGAGAGGTGAGGATGGCAGTCGATTAAAACAAAACTTGTAAAAGGACAGTATTAAATTAGTTCAGTTTTAGGCTATGGAGATGAGTTGATAACCCCGAGGAGTCCAGACTGCAAACTTGAAGAAATTTCGAAAAGAATCTTCATTCTTACTTGAATTTGGATAGATCCCCACCGAGCTGTGCTTTGACCCTCTCGAACTCCTCAGCGGTCACCCCCGCTTCCTCCTCAAGCTCCCTCTGGACGTACGCATGCATCTCGTCACCACTAAGGCCGAGTTCCCTGCCAGGCACCATACATTCACACCAGACTAGCTGAGGACCTTCTACCCTGCTTGCTTGATAATGCTATCGAGAGCGAAGGCTAGCTTCGTAGCAGCATTGTTCCTCTCCTGAGCCGATGAGTGTGAGCGCGAAATACGCACATGTTGATGACATCGGAAAAATTCTCATTGGTCTATACACTTCTACTCATAAATTTTCAACACATATGTAACTTCAGAAACCTCCCAGCTGAGCTGAGGAAAGCAAATATATATTCCAACGCTGAAGTCGTTCAAACCTCCAAAGATCGCATGTGGATCCTCACCTCTGCAACTGCAGCCGCGTCGTGACCGAATTTCTCTCGTCCGCTCTCGAACAGTCGTCTGACAGCTTGAACCTTCTCATCCTGAATAGCCGTCGATCATCATCCACTCGAAGCTACGATCTTCCCAACCTGCGTCATGTCCCCATTAAGAATCTCCTCCAGCTCAGCCTTCGATGCCTTCAACATGATAGCCGCAATGCCCCCAACAATACGCTACAGTGCAGCAGGCTGATGCGACTCAGGGCAGCTGCTGACTCACCGCAAGGCCCTCCCTGCCCAACTTGATACTTTTCTTCATATCTTCAGTCCTATCCCGAACCCCTCGGTCCAGGACCTGCACTCCTCTGGCTAGCGACCCCCGAGCTCTCTCTATCTCATTTTTATAACGTGACAACTGCTGCCTGTAAAGCCAGCGTGTCCACACTGAAGACGCAGTCCGAAGACTCACATAAGATCTCTTCGAGCGGTGACGAAACGCTCGGACTCCTTCTCAGCATTCTGCGTTTCTTCAACACCCATGTTGCGGAACGCGCTGCCTCGGTTACGTATACTATCACCACTACAGGACGAACAGTAGTCAAACGAGATGACCAGGGGGGCTCACATGCTGTCAACACTCGCGAGAGCCGCCCGACTTTTATACCCTCGCTGTACAGCAGCATTCAGCATGTCATCAATCTGGCTTATCTAATCATCACCACTACTCTACCACCATAACACACATAGCCTCTCACTGCATCCCTGAGCTCTCTAGCTCGTTGATTGTCTTTCTCCGATGTGCCCTCCTCAGCCTTCTGCCGCGCTTCCATGAGGAGCTTCCTCGTCTGGGCGATCCTAGCCAAGCCGTCGCGCTCTACCCCGTCGGCTATCTAATACCAAACACCGCATATTTTCCTTGCATACCCCCAACTGACCTTAAGCGCAGCCTGGGCCTCCTGGCCTTGAGCATCGACTAAGTACTTCTGCAACTTGTTGTTCTCTTCTACTACATCACCCTTATACTCTCTCAGCTTAGTAGCCACCTGGGAGGGGAATAACAACATCACATAGCCAACATAGCCCTACCCTAGCCATTCCCCCCTGTGCTTCATCATAGACGGCCGATACACCCTCCTCGTTACTGCCCAGCTCACTCAGCATTCCTCGCAAGCTACGCATCATACCCTTCTGCTCATCCTAAGGGCACAAGACTTTCGATATCAACCAGTACACAGAGGCGTTCCAGGATCAATTTTCATAAGGTAAGTACAGCAAGTAGCACAAGATCTGGTTGAGAAGCAACACCCAGATCGTCGTCATCATTTATCGTCACCTTCATTCGCCCTTTCATGCCTCCTATAGCATTGTCCAATACCCCATCAACGTCTCTTACGGCGTCTACCTCCTCCTGTTTGAACTCCGCCGAGCGGTGCCGCAACGCCATAGCGCTCTCACTGACAGCACAGAGACTCCACCCCACAGCATTACTCCCAGCTCTTACCCAGTGATATCCCGTATGTCGCCATTAGCCTTAGCCGCCTCCTTTTCAAGAATAGCAGACATCCCTTGCAGACCCTTCCTCAGGTCTTCTTGACCGTCAACAGATGACTGCATGCCCCCGACCATACTCGACAGAACTCTGTCCAATTCAGACATGCCTACCACATAGAAGAGCTTCCCCCCAGAAGGCCACTCCGGACCCACCATCCTCAGTATCGTTGTAGGCGTTATTCACATTCTCCCTCAGCCGAGTGAACTCTCCTCGCTGAGCCTCGGCCACGCCGCCCATATCTTCCTCGATCGATTTGGTGAGAGCGGTCTTAGTTGCTGTGAGCGAGCCTGAGATCATCCAGCTGAGCATCATATCGCGGTTTCATTCGAACAACTGTCCACAGATATCTCATTCACAGTACTGGAATATACGTTCGCTTTCCTCAGGAGTTTCCTCACTAATTATACAAGTTCACACACGAGTTCGGGTGGAATCCGCCAAATTTCCCCACTGAGGAAACTTAGTGCGTGAATACTGACATAACACTGTGTAGTCCTCCACAGTTGTGAGGAATCCTCACAATTTCCATATTGCCACCAACTCAGGTAGTTGACCATATGAATATTGTCCCAAACTCCTCACTCATTATAGAATCCAGTCGAGAGAGCTCATCCGCTCCCCCACTAGCGATCGCACCAGCCACTCCATCAACTTCGCCCTTCCCGTGCTCGAGGAGGCTCCGCACGCGAACTCTGAAAATTTCGACAAGTATTATGGAGACTCCAATGTGTGAACTCACTCTTGTTTTTGACCAGCAGAAGCAATGTCGTGTTCCGCCCGACTTTCCTCGTTGGCCAGGTTCCGCTCAGCTCCATCGACCCCCCGAGCTTCCTCCTGCTTTTCAATGGCAGCTTGTCTCGTTACGTCCCCGACTTGAGCTTCGAAGTAGACGTTCTGAATAACACCAATTCCCAGCCTACACAGATGAGCCCCTCAGCACCCTTCCCAAGGCACGCTCTCTCTCTTCGTCAACCTGCTTCTTCAGATCTCCGTTAATGAGCTCAGACTCCCCCAATAACTATCGAGACAGAGTCATGGGAATCAATCAACGCCAACCAACCTGTCTCTGCATGCTGTCACTCGAGGCCATGAGTCTTCTATCCACAACATTATCAACCGTTTTCAAATTGCCTTCCACCTCCTGCAGCTGATCTTCCATCAGTCGTTTATGCTGTATCAAACTCTCCCTGAGCGGCACCATCAGTGCCGAGCCATCAGATCGCACTTACTCGCTAGCGAGCAACTGCCGTTCAACGGCCTCTCCAGCGTCCGCTGCTTGCCTGTTCACCGAATCCTCCTTCTTGCCTTCCGAGCTCAGCCACTCTCTCAAGGCCTTATTCTCTCGACTCAGATCCTGCTGGTCACCATCACATACCACAATACCGACTACTCCCACCTGATTCTGTGTCCTTTGAATAACGGTTCTTTGTGACTTCATCCTCAACAATCTACCATTGACTCCCCTTGAGAACTCCTTCTCAGCGTTGTAGAGAGCAGCGCGTGAGTCCCGCTTCATGAGGTCAATAACCGCCTTCCTCTCCTTATCCATTATTCTCTTTTGCTGATGAGCACACTATAAAGGGCGATCCGTCCAAGTACCCTACCCGCTGCTCATAGGGACGTACGAGGCTCTGTTGGCGCACCCGCTGCTGCAACAACTTCTGCTTCAGCTGATCCAGAATAGTCCTGAACGCTATGTGTAGATAAGTAAGGAGGCTCGCGAAGGTACATCAATAGACGATGCTTGCTAGGTGCGGTATTGGCCATCAATTTATTCACTATCGCTATCACGCGAGTGGCCGTGTCCAGTAGTTTACCGCTCTTCCTTTCTACCTGAGAGGGACAGGAAGCAAATCGTGCTTGGAAAACAACCTTAGCCGAGAATCGAACCATCGACCTCTAATGTGTTAACAATGCTACGTTACCACTAGAGCATACCAACTTTACTCGAGAGGCTACCCCAACCCCACCCTAGAGCTGTCCTTCTCGGCCTCTTTCAGCGCCTTCAATGATCCTCTTGCTACTGTTCTCGAGTTCTTCAGTACGCCTCTACTCAGCGTTCTCAGCGCCTATAAAATAGAAAATCCCGATCGGATCGGGCGAGCGGGAATTCAAAATCAACCGCTGATCAGAATGTCACGCAGCACCAAGGGCTCTGCCGTATTCACCATCAGGACACTACTCAACAGTTTTCGATCTCAATAGGACATACCAGCACATCATCAACTGCATATGTCGGTGATAATATAAAAATTCTGAGGAAATTTTGAGAGGTTCTTGTCGGTTTCTGTGAATATAAATTCCTATAATTAGTGAGGATCACGAACATATATTCCTCCAACACTGCTTTCATCTACAATCCCAGGAGAGAAAGGAAAATTCGGCCAAAGGAGTCGCCACGGCCACACCAACCTTATGCAGATTCTTGTCCATCTTCACAGTCTGCCCTAATACGTGCTTCGCCTGTTGTTTGAGGTTGTTTGCCACCACTTGAGATGTCTATCAAAAAGCAAAGAGAACAACCACGGAACGATATTGCGCTACTTCTGTGAACTTATCCGCTAACGATTGTTTGTTCATGTCAACTTCTGATTTAATCTCGCTGAAAAAAAGGATTTCCCTAAAAACGTCACGACCCCCATTCCTCTCACTCCTCTAGATCTTGCAGCTTCGGGTAGAGTCCTTCGAAGGCTTTCCCCTAGAAACAGTGATGAGGCAACTCTATGGGCAGCAAGTGGCCTACCACTGCGGGCTGCTCTACTAACACAGCCTTGAGTAGAGAAGACGCTCTCGAGGTCAACCCGTCGTGCCTGAGGAAGCACATCAACAGAGGCGAGATTGCAAGTGCTCACTTCTGCTCAGGATCGATGAGGACCATACTGTCATTCAATCGGAATTGATCCATCTGGTTGGTCATCTGCTGGGACCTGAGAGAAAACGTCATACACATTAGATGGGACCCGGGTTCGATCCCTGGTTGGGGTATTTAATAAAGCACTCACTCAGTTTCTGCCTGCTTCACCCTAGCAGCCATTTTCTTGATCTTGTCCCTCAGAGCTTCCGTTCTCTTGAATGCAACCGTACCACACCATTGCCACCAAAAGTACTTATCGCAGTACCAAGTTCTAAAATAAGACAGACGCACGAAATCACAGCGGAGCGAAGCAGCAACCTCAACGTACGTCCAATCACTCCAATAGCCTCTCATAGGTTGCAACAACATAGCATGGGCAGCAGTGCCCTCATACAGGAGCGATTCTGGCGTGATAGAGGCATCAGAATCCAATTGGGACAGTATTCGTTGCTGATCGCTGATGGACGGCTGATTGGCCTCCATTTGGCTAGTAGGAGGCAGGCTATGCCTGAACGTCCTCGGGGGGTAGCTAGCAAGGGTTTCTAAAGTCACCGCTTGTACAGGTATCTCCCCTAAGGTGCGTAGTGGCAACTTGGATACTTGAAGGGGAGTGAGAGTGTGCCATAGACCTTTGGTGAGAGAGGCCAGGGACGATACTGGTAGTGAGGCGATCTCCTCGGCCGACATGTTAGCCACTATTGACAGTCGGGGGGAGGGGGAGGACAGTCCCGGAGTGACCACGACAAGGGCCGCTAGAGCGACCCATAAGGGTGCTCTTCGCCGCCTTCTCATGTCTTGACTACAATATTGATAAAGTTGAAAATAATAGCTGCAAAGTGTCATCATGACTAGCCACTCAAATAAAGTAAATCACGCACTCATTCTAAGGTTCCAGGCCGTAGGGACTTTTTGATACAGATTGCCATACAGGCTTGGTCGAACCCCAATGTACTGTATATACGCTTGCCATAGGCTGCACCGCAGTATCAGCATCTCTGCTTATTCCCACCCTCCTGGAAGGATTCCGTAGCAAACGCGAGGCTGAGCTAGCATGGACAACAATTTCATCATTGGATGTGATCATGACAGTCGGATAAGAATAATCAGCTATCATATGAATCTGAATGCACTATTGCCCTCCTGCTCCCGACGCTTCACCGCGAGCTGCTGAGACCATCTTCTGGAATTGGCTTGTTTTCGCAGAAAGTTCCCTGCAAAAAAACTTCATGGAAATCTCGCCCTGGGTATCGATCACAGATTGACAATCGTCTATCCTCTCAAACGTTACTTTATCGTTACTAACTACATGTGTTAGTGACAATGTAAAAATTCCGAGGAAATTTGGGGAGATTACTGTTGGTTTCTGCACGCTTCTTTCTACCCGAAATCACATCTAGGCTTCTATACTAAGCGAAGAAACTCCTGAGCTCAGCTGGGGAAAGCGAATATATATTCAAACACTGATCGATAGAGCTGTGAACTCACCTCATGACGTCTTTCCAAGCCTGTGCTCGCACCTCATCCCCCTCCTTCGAAGTGTCACTCACCGCCTTCATAACGGACTTTCTCGCAGATCTGCAAGAGGTGAAAAACTATCAACACGATCAAGTAACCTTCAAAGCCTTACATCGATTCAGCGGCGATCTCTCTATCCTTCTTCTCGTAACCAGAGGCATCCTCCTTCATTTGCGCCAGTATCGGCCTAATGCCGTTCATGAACCTGTTTTCCTCGAAAATGTGCAAACTCCGGAAGAACATCAACAACCGACTTATCAGATTTCCTCACGGCCTCCTCCACGTCTTTATTCATGGACGCTACCGAGGAGTTGGTGCCTGGAAAAGATGAAACAATCGAGGTAATCTATTTTCTCTATAAACACAAGCCTTACTAGAGCCGAGCGTGTCGAGCATCTCATCCAAACTTTGAAAGTCACCAGTACTGCTACCAATTAAGCCTTGAATCTGACAAGAGAATCACCAACGCAGTGTTATGCAATCCTAACCTCATCAAAGGCAGATTTCGTAAGAGTGTCCACAATGGCTACGACGTCCTCTACTCTTCCTAGCGCATTCAGATCAGCTCCATGACTCTCCGCCATCTCCCTCATAACCGAGTCCTTGGTAGCACTAAGAGAAACAATACCCTTACCGCGTAGTAGATAGGCCTACGAGACAGTGTGAATGAGGGCCTTCAGGTCGTTGCTGGAGGTCTGCCTCTCCCCATCAGCCAAGCGCTGCACGTTACGCAGCGCTATAGCGTTGTATCTACAACCGTCATAGGAGTTCAATATACAACACACAGTTCTCTTTCTCACCCTAGAGAGTTGCCAACTTCCGTTGCCTCTCCTGAAACTTTCTGACCGAGGCCATCGAGTTGGCCATATACTCCTTCCTCTCCATGTGCCAATACTTTGTCGTTTTTCTAAGGCAAAAACATTCACGTGATTATGCTGCGGTATAGTCTACAGCGATCTCCTCCTTGGCCTTGTCTCGCTCGGCATTGGCTGTTGCTCTGAAGTGGAAACCATATTCTGGAATGCTGATAATGGTGATAGTCGACACAACGTTCACTTCAGTGTACAACCACAACAAGACCTTTCAATCTCCGAAGCGGCAAAGCGTCTCAATAAAAGCGATCAGAGAAGACGCCTTGTCAAACTCAACAGTAGTCCAGCGCTTGGCTCTACGAGTAGTTCAGTCCG